AAAGTAATACCAGCAGCAGCAACAACAGTCATTTGGCCAGAACAAGTGGCAATCTATAAATATTTGGCACCATTGTTAAACACTCACTTTTCCTTTAGTCTGAGGAAGGGCAAGGTTCTGGTCATTGGTGAGGAGTTGACTTCTCTCCATTTGTTGAAGGAATTGACATTTTTAAAAAAAAAAACGAAATGCGAAATTTCAAAACCATCAAAAGCATTTCTTGGAGCAACAGCAAATACACATTAGCTTTGGAAAGACTAAAATAGTTTTGGAGTGGAGCCCTTTGATAAAGCATCACAGAGCGAGGAAACTGCACTTTGCTTTGGGACACACAGATGAATGGAAGATCTGTGTTGCAGCAAATGGAATATCTGAACAGCACTAAATATTATCAGTGATCAAGAAAAAGCTGGAAATCTGAAATATAAACAGAAAATGCTGGAGGTGCACAACATGTCCATCAGCATCTGAAAGTTTATAACAGGTGAGCCAACACAATGGGCCACATCCCTCAAAACCTTTCCTACTAGACAACCTGGGAGAAGCTTGCACCCAAGCAGACACAATAGGGGGAAGAGTACCCTCTGTTTCTATGACCTGTTCGGCATTTCTAGCATGTGCAGTTTTGTCTTACAATCTTTAAAATTTTTGTTCTTGCTTTTATTGAAGTTTATTTCACAGATTAAGCAAAGGCACCAAACTACTGATGGCATCCTGTCCTTTGTCCTACGACAAAGAGAAGTGGTGCATGAAACAACAAAACTACTTTTAAATAAGTGTATAAATTTGTACTGTTCCAAAGCTTCCCACTAAGGAAACATAACCATAATAAGTTTAAAATCTCTTGACAGTAAATAACAGTACCTGGAAAATGTATGTAATAAGCTACAAACATCGCAATATCCAAGTAAGGTTTTGTGAGAGTACAGGGTAATTTCCTGGCTCGTACGGTTTTGTATTTGAAACTATATTTTAAAGCTGGTTTGTTTTTGAACAAACAAAGATTAAAATTCCTTTTGCAATTACTTAAAAAATGGGGGGAGGGCAGGGGTTGGACAAAGGGCATACGTTAAATAACGAGGGAGTGGATCCCCTTAGCCAGGCAGAATAACTGGAGTGACTGAGGTGATGGTGACATCAGTTACATCCTGCCACTGTCCCACATGGTTCTTTGGGAAACAGGGTCAGCCTGCAGATGGACAGGAGCACACAGCTGCGGTCTGTTCAGCCAGCCCACGTGTTAAACAGCTTCTCTGGAGTTTTCGTAGAACATTTAAAAACAATTATGTTTTTGTTTTTCATTTGTCTTAATTATTGGGGCAGAATCTCAGTGCCAGTAATGCCAAGTTTCAGCTCCATTCCTCCAGTTGCCCTGGTGGTCGAGAGAATGAACGTGCCACCCCATCGGTGTAGCAGGAAGCCACACAGACCAGAAATGCACAGGCTTGAATCCCAGTGTATGATGAATTAGTTGTTCTCTGATGGGGTACTAGTTGGGGAGCTACAAATAGTTTCAACACCTCTGAACGAATGAGGGGAAGAAAATAAATCAGCTAGGGTAGGTGCCTAAATCAACTACAAAAGACAGTCAATACACTTGACAGATTATCATGTGAAGCACTTTGAGACATCCTCCTGACTTGAAAGGTGCTATATCAAATGCAAGGATTATTATTACTACGCAGGATAGATATCCAGTAATCCCTGCTGGAAAGTGAGGAGGAGATCAGGCTTTGACCATGATGAGAACACAGGAACTTTACTCTACATCTAACTCGTGGTGTAATTAGCCTTATAGAAGAGTACAGTATAAACTGGAGCTTCAACTGTAAACTAGAAGCTTAACCCATCCCTAACAGGTCAACAATCGATGAGACAGTGTACAGGTTTGCGTTGATATTGCAACACAGGGCAATCCTGTGAATGACAGTTGAACAGATTGTTAAATATTTGAGAAGCAACAATACACTAATTAGCAATCACACTAACTACTGCACTGAAATCAAAACACAAAGGAATACAGTGCATTATCAAACTTGTCAACAAGATTCTCTACAAGATCAATTTGTTTCCACGTAATACAACTGGAAGACCCATTGGGCTTGATTTATATTGATGCTACTAACCATAACTCTCAAACCAGTTTGCAAGCCAGGCCACAAGCCACAGGTTGAATATGAAGCACACTCATCTAGTCTCAGCCTGCATTTGCCTTGCATCTAAACTATATACGACTGATCTGGGGACTGCTCAATGTTATAAAACAGGAAAATTGCACCCTTCCCCAGAACTGAATCATTTACCTTGGCAACATCACCTGGATAGCCTCAGCCACAAATGGGAATTGTCATTGTGAGAAAAATCCCAGGCTCAAAACAGGTGCCCTGTAATTTTATGGTACGGTGTGCTGCGCATTCTCTTATTAATTCACATTTCAGTGGTTTCTTAGTGCTTTCCCGTGCTCCCTCCAATTACACCGTTTGTCTCTAAGTGCTGCCACATCTTGAACTTCACGTGTCACTTATTACAAAAGGAAAAGAAAAACAATTATTCCATTTTACTGTTAGTATTCAGAGAAGATGCAAGGCTAGAAAAGTCAACACAGGATGACTCTAATTAGCACGATGGCCAGCAGTTAATGCCTAGATTTGACAGGATCACGTCTGGATAGATTATTGCCTCATTAGTTACTCTATATTGACTGTCGGTATTCAAATATAGGTCAGTCTCACAAATCCGATTCCGAGCAAATAGTATTTTAGTTTAATTTTTTAATGCGGGAAAAGAGAGAAATGCAACACTTAAAAGTGAAAAACTACAAATTCGCATTTCCATGATCTTGGTAGCTCAGAAACCATAGAATCTGATCAGGCTCTCTGCTCTCACCCACACCCTTGTAACTTCGATTCAGTTCTCGATCTGAATGGAGTAGAAGCATAAAGATGAAAAGCAAAACTAACAATAGGTTCAAGATGAGCAAAATTCTTTCCAACTTTTTCTATAAATAACAGAAAGACGTTCCAACCAAAATACTCCTATTATGATATTACATGAGAAATGCCTAAATGATTACCAAGGTTTAACCTTCAGTCAATTCCAAGAATACGGCTGATGTGGGTAATTATTGCACTTTGTCATAATGCCAACTTTAAGCCTGCTTTTTTTTAAAAAAATGGAAGTGCTTAGGAGGCTCAGATTTAATGGTAACAGGTCAGTGAATCACAAGCAGTTCAGTATTGCCAGGCAGCAATGCAGCCACTTGCACACTTGCATAGTTTTTGGAGTGGGATACATAGCTGACATGCCTTCAGTTCAGCACCATGACTGCCTTGTGTCGACGACTGTGAAAAGAACTAAAATTAATTTAACTGTAAACTAGTTATTGTCAAGAGTCAAGCACAGGGAATGAGACAAGACCTATACTTGAGTGAAATTCAAACCCTGGTTTCGGTTCAGAAGCTGGAAGTTAAAGTCTATTAGAAACAGCTTGGTAGATAAACCGAAAGGATTAGAATATCAGCATTTTTCAGTAAATTGTTACATGAACAAAAGGCCACTACTTTCCTAGCCTGCAGTTTATTTAGAGGTTGTTGGTTACATTTGTGGCTCTCATGGCTGGATACCAGAGAGAGCATTTATTAAAGGCTTATGCAGTAGGTAAGTACATGCTTTGGCGATAGACTAGCCAATCACTGTCACTCCAGGAGATGCAATAAAGGGAGCTCTTAAACAGAACCATCTGCACCCCATCCTGTACCTCATCTTCTGTAACAATATTACTTTGACATTTTAAACAGCGCGTCACGTCCGCCATTGTGGTGCTGCCAGCAGAGTTTGGCTGCAGTTAGGGGAGAGAAAGTTATTTCTAAAAAAATTCTTCTTTGTAGATACTTTGGAAGTTATTCAGTGACTGAACAGAACAAAAAGAAACCTTTTATGGAAATTTCAGGGTCAAGATCAAAGCTATTACCATTTAAGAACATAGTTACTTGAAGACTGAATTATTCACAGAATTTAATTCATAAAAAGGATCTTGAACTAAACTGACATAACTGTTCACAATACCATATGCATGCCAGCATCCTGTCTCCGCTTGGCTAGTATGACACTTCATAATTATATATAAAGCGGCATTCACGTCATGAGGATGTCTCAAAGCACTTCACAGGATAGACTGTGAAGTGTAGTCCCTGCCTATATTTTTAGTAAGTGAATGCAAACAGAAGTGTCCCACAAACAGCCATGAAGTGCATGACTAATTTTACGTGGGTAATTGTTGGCCAGGGCATCGGAGAAACTTCTTTCTCTTTTCGAATCGCACCATGGGATTTTTAACCTCCACATGAACAGACTGCTAGGACCTAGGCTTAACGTCTCATCTGAAGGATAATACCTTCAGCAAAGCAGCATATCCTCCATACTGAATTGGAGTGTCAAGTCTATTTGAGTTCAAATAAGAGCATTGTGGATTGAAGCTCCGATGTGCGGCTTGAACCCACAACTTTCTAACTCAGAAGTGAGAGTGCTAACTACTAAACTACGCTGGCACACAATATGCCTCTGTATATCTCTAGACATTGAATCCCTACCTAAGAAGGAATCCATAGACCACGAATACTCTCTGAAGCTGAAATCTGAATGTTGGTCCCAAATGAATAAGAAACATCCAAAGCCATTGAAATATTTTCAATATATATGAACAATTGCCTACAAAATATATGGCCATTACACATTATACCATATGAAGTGCTTTTGAGATATCCTCCTGACATGAAAGGCACAATATCAAATGTAAAAATTATTATAAACCCTTTTAAGGCTGAAAATCAGTAGGATGTCAACAGCATTATCAACAGGAGACCATGCATATTGTAACCTTATTTCAGAATTAGGAGTTAAGAAGCAGCCCTTTATCATCTCATTGAGCTACTTGGGGATATATAGAACAGTTAGAGAGCTGGCCATAACATAAATATCAGAGGGTTGGAGTGCACACTGACCTCAACATTGCTCCGAAACCTTTCTTCTTTGCTTTCTTTTCCTCCTTTTCTTGACTATCATTTCCCTTTTTCTTCTCTTTGGCTTTTTCTTTTCCTTTTGTCTTCACCTTCTGCTTCTTGTCTTTCTTCTTCTTGTCTTTTTTCGTCTTACTATCGGAGCTCTCCCCGTCCTCCAAATCCACGGGTCCCTGCAACGCAGACTCGCTGCCAGGAGTCTCGCGGCCTGACTGGGAGCTGTCTTCAGAATCCACTGGAGTGGACACAAAACAGACATGGAAATTAACGGTTGCTTATGCTGCTTTTTTTAAAATTGAGAGGAAACTCTTGATGTAATTTTCTATTTTCCCTTTACTTGATTCTCCCCACAGTACACACCATTTCCAATTGACAACTGGCAATCTACCCCTGACAGTAACAATTTTTAACAAACTTCAGGGAAGGGATTCAGGGAAGTCTGGAGTAACTATCTCCTCTGGTTTTCCCCTTCCTCTATGGAGTGGTACTTGAACCCCATTTAAAGTTTCCCACAGCAAAATAACTAGGATTATTTGCTCAGCAACCGGAAGATGGGGGTTTGTTGGAGGGGAGGGGGGGTGGGGGTGGGGAAGACGACTCATCCATAGCCACTCCATATCAGTAGAGCTCCAATTTGTTGCAGCCTCACACAAACTCAAAGCAACCTTCACCCTTGCAGGTTTTTTAGAAACGTTTCAGTGTTACATTAATGAGATTTGATATTTTAATACCATGAATACTTCTTTGGAGTTAATCTGATGTATGTACATGTGTGAGGTTATGATTCTTCAAAACTTACCATCTGAGATAACAATATCAAACAAATTTCTTTTCCAGTTAAAATAACATGTGCAGTCTCCAAATGCACTCAAAATGCTAAAGGTGCAAAGGTAAAATTCAGTAACTAATCTAGAAGAATTGTTCACTGGAATCAAATACCTCCAGCTGGATCTCATTGTTTGCCACATGTACCCTGTTGAAAATATCTTAGGGATGGAAGAACTCACTTGGTTATTTCTACATAATACGCTGCCAATTCCAATTTTTGCTAATGAAATGCATGTGAAATTTGAGTGACTCTGCATTGAATATACTATGATTGAGAATTTTTCACTGACTCAATTTATGATAATAATCTTTGCATTTGATATAGTGCTTTATCATGTTATCGAGACATCTCTAAGCGCTTCATATGATATACTGTAAAGTAATGTGACTGTTTTGTGGGCAAACATGATAGCACATTCTTCTTTGTTGTCTGCAACAAGTAGTATTAGCGGAAATAAGAGAAATACAAAATAAAACTGCAACTATCATCTGCAGATTATGCATTATTAACAATAAGTACACAGGTTTCACTTGTGGCAATAATTTCATTTTCTCTGGGCTAAACTTCAGTTTGTCTCATAGTGCAATAACTGAACATCATTAAAGATCTCTTCCATACACTTTGATGGGAGATGAAAATATTCTCTTTTGATTCTTCAAAGACAATTTCTTTACGTCTCTCACAAATGTAACCAACAGCTAAACATACCTAACCCTTCATTCCCTCTATCACAATCTCACTCCTCTCTCCATAATGACTAATGCTCCTCTGAACATTGTTCTCTTGCCCTTACCAAATTTCTACATATTCTTCCTCCTCCTTGAATTCTAAGTGTTGAACTCAAGCAATGTAGGACTGACCCAAATAAATTAATTTAGTCCCAGCACATCAAGGCTGTGGAAATCCAAATCTTCAATCAGTCTTCCCTTTCCCTCAATAATCGAGTATTCAGAACCCAAACTTGGCATCACCTAACCATTTCTTCTCAACTTATGTTTGGTTTTGTGAGGCTGGCCAGGAATATTGGTTTTGTCTCCTACTGGAATAGACTTTCTGGGCTGAATATAACATTAATCCTCGTATTTGATATTGCACCTTATAATGTTGCTGAACGTCTCAAAGTTTTTAATGGATTTACTATAAAGTGAACTGACTGATATTTCTAGGTGAATATGGCTGCCAATTTGAGCACAGAAATGTGCCACAAACTGAAGTGCATGACAATTTTTTTTATTCAGGCGTTTGTTGGCCAATCCATGGGGAGAATCTCCCTACTCTTTTCGAATAGTGCCGTGTCCATCTGCACAGGCAGACAGGACCTCGGTTTAACGTCTTCTCCGAAGGATGTGTGGCCTCCTCCTGCTCTCGTTTCCCAATGCTTCAATTTACTTTCCTCAATCTTGGTCATGTGGCTTCACCCAGGATTCTCAACAGAGAAAATGTTGCTGAGCAGCAAGTCAATTAGTGACTGAAGGTGATGCAGCTATGTAATCATGGAGTGAATTGAAGTAATTGTTATAATCAGAATCTCGGAACTGAACGCGAAGTGAGTAGTTGAGCAGTAGCCCCGCTATTATCTCTAGGACCAAATCTTATCCTGCGAACATTTGTTATGTATAGCTGACTGCTGCATTTTTGGACTTATAACAATTTTAATTTGCATTCTTCGGTGTCTTAGAAAAACATATGTATTGTAATGAAATGGCTTTCCAAATATTCTGCTGGCTTTGCTCTTAAAATAAACAAAATAATCCTTGCATTTGATATAGCGCCTTTCATCCCAGGAAGATGTTTCAACCTGCTACGCAGAATTCACTATAAATTGTAGAGACTGTGTATTTTGTAGGGGAACACGGCAGCCAATTAGTACAAGGTAATATGTCACAAACAGCCATGAAGTGAATAACCATTTATTTTTAATTCGGCAGAAAACTGCCTTGCCTTTCAAACAAGGGAACAACGGCCCTCGGTTTAATGTCTCATCCAAAAGACTGTTCTCTTCTCATTCTGCCGTAAAAGTGGCATTTTCCTCCCTACTAAATCATTTAAGGATTTGCAATGGAGAGAAGAGCAATGGGAATCGCATAACCACAAGCGCACAATTATCACTCACACACTCACTCAGACACTCCTTCACTCACTCACACACGTAAGCGAGAGGACCCGGGTTCGATCTTGGGCGGGGCCAAACCTTAGTAAGTTTCCTTACTTCACATGCCTCTGTTTACTTTGCAGTAAGAAGGAACCCACTTGTTAGTCGATTGGCGCATTACTTTCCGGGGATAATAATCCCTTAAAAAAATAATAATCCATGACTGTTTGTGGGACACATAATTCCCTCTCACCTCCCTACCTATCCTACCTGCTTAGCCCCCACTCCAACACCCACTGCCTCCGGCCTCCTATTTGTCCCTCGTGCCCTCCAATCCATTATCTGTGGCCGTGCAACAGCCACTATGCCCCAAAACTCTGGAACTTTCTCCCTCAATCCCTCCGCCTTGCCCCCTCCATCTCCACCTTCAAATCCCGCCTAAAGACCTTCCCTTTGATCATGCGTACGGTCAATTTGATTTATTTTTAAATTCCCAAGGGGTCACCTTCCTAATCCTCCCCCTGGTTTGTTGTCATACTCCTGGACCCTATCCCGCATGAAGGGTGCTATATAAATGCAAGTTGTATAGTATATTCTGTGAAGCACTTTGAGACGTCTCGACGATGTGATAAGGCGCTATATCAAATGCAAGGATTATTATTTTTTATTATTAAGCAAGGCAACCTCCTGCTCCACAAATGGGAATTTAAAAATAAACCATATGTATTTGCCTTCCTAAATATTCTATTTATATCAATCATACCAATTGCAAAATCTTATAAATAACTAATGTGTTACTTTTCAGGTTATTTTCCAATTAGCTGGAGGTTGTAATATTTTGTGCTCACCCAGGTGAGGGACTTCAATGCTGAGAACCTTTTTGTATTACTCCACTACAGCTGTGAACAACCAAAAATCCAATGGGTTTCCTTAAATTTTACTAACAGAATGCTGGATATATGGGAAAAAATAAACTCTTCTGCTTCAATTATGTACAACATTGGCTGCCCCTTAGAGAATTAATTGGTACGTTTATAGTGACTTTGAACATCGATGCCTCTCAACGTGATTCACAAATAATAAATAATAATCAACTGTAGTGACTGTTTATGTAGACAAATGCAGCAATCGTTTGCTTCTGCCAAGACCCGCAAATAGTCATTAGGTGGACAATTGATTAATGTGGAGGATTGCTGGCCAAGAATCTGGGATAAATATCTTCTCTTTTCAAAAAGTCTCATAAGAACTTTAAAGTCCACCTGAAAAGACTAAGTTTAATGTCCCATACTATTGGCATCTCCAACAATGCAAAACCTCCTTTGGTGCACTGGAATACCAACCTAGACAATGAGGGGCTATAAACAGACCCTAAAATCCATTATATTACAAAAGTCTCCTTTGCTTCCTTCATTGATTTTCACTGGGTGAGAATTGTGTTATTTGACCACATTAACGGGGAGAGCTTGGGGGGGGGGGGGGGTGGGGGGAGGGGTTGGGGGGTAAAAATGTTAAGATGAGAAAATAGTGAATGGCTCAAGTGTTAAAATCNAAAAAAAACTGAACACAATTGTTAGGTTGCATCCGGCCAGAATTCAGGATAAACTAAGACATAAAGAAAAATCATTTCATGTTAGCTTTGCTATATAAAAAAATTAATTTGCTATGACCTTGTCTAAATNAAAAAATGAATTTAATAATAGTAATGTGGAGTTTACAGAGGTTGGAGTCATCATGTTTGTCACATAAACAAATGTAAGCTATTACACCAGCAGCAGTTGATTATAGGGGTGATTTTCATGAATACTGAAGACCTTCAACTCAAAAGAAATGGAACTGCTCATGAGATACCAATTCTTTCTCATGCGTGAAATAAGCCCAGTAATCAACTTCTCGTGATATGAAGGAGGAGAGGAACGGTATGACAGGCCTCTTTCATAACTCTGTGTTCAGTGAGCCACGGAAAGTGTTGTGCATATTGCCATCTCAATAGCCCACAAATTTTGTTCTGAAACTCAAAAATTATTTCCTTCCAACGTATGAATCGTCAACAGTAGAAAATGTCACAAAAAATAACAGGAGCAGAGAATTAAAAGTGCCGCTGGTACAGTTCCAGGTTCCTTCCTGGGATACTGTCAATGTCAACCTTTCATCCAATAACCTCCCAGAAATAATAATACATTAATAATCCTTGCATTTGATATAGTGTCTTTTCACATCACCAAGACGTCTCAACACTCTTCATAGTGTAAAGTGTAGTGATTGTGTATTCAAAGACAAACTTGGCTTTGTGCATAGCAACAAGAACAAAATTACATTTGTATAGCGCCTTTCACGTTGGGAAGAGATACCAAGGTGCTGGACAATCAGTGTTTCGGACCTGAGCTGTCCCGCAAACAGCCATGAAGTGCATAACCGTTTTTTTTAAATCTTGGGGATTGTTAACAAGGACACCAGGAGAAACTCCTTTCTCTTTTCAAATAATGTGTGGGATCTTTAACGTGTACATGAATAAGCAGAGGGGAATATGCACCTTGGTTTAATTTAATACTCTTCCTTGTGGAGTCTTGCAGCTCAATGGTTAGAGCACTCGCTTTGCAAGCGAGAGACCCGAGTTCAATTCCAGGCACAGGGCGAAACCTTGAGCAAGTTTCCTTACTCCACACGCCTAATAATAATCCCTCTAAAAAACCCCAAACAATAATAAATTGGTCATTTTCAATCCACGACTGTTTGTGGGACATTGCTGTGCGCAATTGGCTGCCGTGTTCGCCCACAAATATACAGTCAATTCACTTTACAGTGTGTTCTGTGAAGCGCTTTGGGACGTCTTCCTGACGTGAAAAGCGCTATATCAAATGCAAGGATTATTATTATTATTATTATTCATGCACACCTTCAATCGTGCTAAACATATAACCATGCGGAGCATCAATCCTGCAGTAGTTGTCCACTTCCATCAATTTTTAAAAAAAAAATAGTGCATCCACCTCCCAAAAAAAATCCATAGGTTTTGGGAAGAACTCAGTGATAGCTTGGGACGAATACAAAGATAATCAGTCATGCAATCAACAAGAAGAGCTGAGAGGATACGAGAGCTGGAGAGCATTCATGGTGGAGACTGACTAAAGTAAAGCAGCACAAGTGGCACTAATCTCAATGTCGAGGTGTGACCAGATTAGTAATCAGAACCTCACTGGTAAACATCTCTGCCGAGTACTGTACTCTAAACCCACTGCCAATTGGTAATCTGAACAATCACTAACCTTCCTTCTGCTTGACCAGATCAGATGAGTGACAGGGTACTATATATTGGAGCGTCTCGGATGTCACCATCACTGACAAGGCCATCTCTGACCACCATTTCATCTCCCACAACTCCCATATTCCTCTCCCCATTGCCTCCAAACCTACCACCATCTTCTACCGCCCATGGAAGAAGAACTCCCCGCAATCCCTCTCCGCTGCACTGGAGTCTTCTGAACTCCTCCTCCTCTGGCCCACCTCTCGCACCAACCCACTCGCTGCACTCATTCTTCTCCACAGCACCCTCTCCACCATACTCGACGTCCTTGCGCCCTTCACCTCCCAAACTGCCTCCTATTCCCAATCCTCACCCTGGTTCACCAGCCACCTCTGCTCGCTTAAGGGTCAGGTGCGGTCTGCCGAACGCACTTGACTCAAATCGGCCTAACGGTCCACCGCCACATTTGGCTGGACCTCATCAAGACCTACCGCTCCGCTCTCGCCTTGGCCAAATCATCTTTCTATTCCAGGTTAATCCTGGAGGCGAAGGGCAACCCCAGGCTCCTGTTCTCCACCGCCAACCGGCTCCTCTGCCACGTCAGACATGCCTCGCAAATTCTTTCCTCTGACTCTCACTGCGAGAAAATGCTGGACTTCCTCAAGTCCCAAATCAAGGGAATCCACTCAGCTGCCATTGCCCTCCTAACTTCCACCACCTCCCTACCCCCACCCCACACAATTACCCATCCGACAATTACCCATCCCTCGTTCCACACCTTTGAACCTGTCACACCCTCCTCTATCTTCACCACTGTAACCTCCATGAAGCCCACCACCTGCTCCCTGTACACCATCCCCAACCCTCTCCTTAAATCCCAGCTCCACCTCCTTGCCCCACTACTCGCCGACATCATCAACCCTGACATCTGGCACTTTCCTTCCCCCCTAAAAACAGCCACTATCATCCCCCCACCTTGAAGAAACCTTCCCTTGACCCATCACAGCTATCTAGCTACCGGCTCATCTCAAATCTCCCCTTCCTATCCAAGTTCCTTGAGAGAGCCGTTGCCTCCCAGCTTCACTCTTTCCTCTCCACTCACTCTCTCCATGAACCCCTCCAATCTGGTTTCCGTGCTGCCCACAGCTCTGGTCAATGTCACAAACAACTTCTTGACCATGTGTGATCAGGGCTCCCTCTGCCTCCTAGTCCTCCTCGACCTCTCCACTGCCTTTGACACCGTGGATCACTCAATCCTCCTTCACCGCCTCTCCTCCCACCTCAACCTTCAAGGTTCCATCCTTGACTGGTTCAGGTCCTACCTTTCACACCGCCTACACTTCGTCGTGGCAAATGGCTTCACCTCCAGTCCCGCACCGTCTTGTGCGGGCACCTGCCCGCTCCCTCCATTCAGCGGGCTCCAGCCTGCTCCATGTCTCCCACCCGATCCGCCCTACCATCGGAAGCGACAGGGTTCTGTCCTCGGTCCCCTCTCTTCACCCTCTACATGCTCCCCCTTAGTGACATCATCCGCAGACATGGGGTAAATTTCCACATGTTTGCGGATGACACCCAACTCTACCTCTCTACCTCCACCCTGAACTCCAGGACTACTGGAGTCCTGACCGACTGCCTATCCGACATCAAGTCCTGGACGAGGGACAACTTTCTCCAACTCAACGTCAGCAAGACCGAGGCCCTCCTGATTGGCTCGCGCCAATGCCTCCGCACCTCAGGCGCTGGCAGCATCAGCCTCCACGGCTGCACACTCAACCTCACTAAGCCAGTCAGGAGCCTGGGTATTTTGTTTGACCCTGAACTGTCCTTTCTCCCCCACATTCAAGCCATGACAAGCACTGCCTACCACCACCTCCGCAATATCGCCAGACTCCGCCACTGCCTCCCACTCAGGCTGCCGAAACCCTCACCCACGCATTCGTCACATCAAGGCTCGATTACGGGAACTCCCTCCTCATCGGACTTCCATGGGCTTGCCCCCTCCTACCTCTCTGACCTGCCAACCTGCCCGCTTCCTCCATTCAGCGGGCTCCAGCCTGCTCCATGTCTCCCACCCGATCCGCCCTACCATCGGTGGCCGGACTTCCAGCCTCTCTGCCCCCACACTCTGAAACATCATCCCACGGTCCCTTCACCTCGCTTCCTCCCTCGCATCCTTCAAGGCTGGTCTCAAGATCTTTCTCTTCGACCGTGCCTTTGGTCCCCTTCCCACCTCTCTGCCTTCCCTCACCCCTACATCACCCCTCCCCCTGATCAGGCCCCGACACATGACTGTTCAGCACTTTGGGACATCCTCCTGACGTGAAAGGCGCTCTATAAATATAATTTTGTTGTTGTTGTTGTTGGGAGTTGTGAAGATGAGCAATGTGAACTGTATGTTTTCTAACATAACCGATTAATTATCTATCACAAATTAAGTATGTTGTGTAAATAAAATCTTTGACCCAAGGCCTTTCTTTTTAAAAGCCTTACTGAGTCTCCTTAAGGTGAATAAAATGCACGACAATGAGTGTAAACCATGGTACACTTACCATCTTCTGGAATCTCAGGTCCATCGTAGGACTTATCAATGGCCGCCCGGAAGCTCTCGTTGCAACCTCGTCCTCGGACCATGTGAGGCCTGGGCCTGTGGAAAGGGAGTTCGTTCTTCCTGACCTCAGCCACAGCCGTTTGCAAACTTTCAAGAGAGCTGGACTTCTTCAGGCCCAGCATGGGCCCCACATCTCTCTCCGAGGAGTCTGATTGCCAACAAAGCACAAATCAAGTCACTCAACATAGCTAATGTAACTTTATACTTTAACAATAATGCCATGCACAAAGGATTTTAAAAAAATCTTTCATCAACTTGCTTGAATTTACATGATGCAGTCAAGGAACTCAGTGATAACCCACTAATTTATCAGATGTACAACAGCAATCATTTAGGATCCAGCAGAATTCAGAATATCAAACCAAGAAAGCAATATCACCCTTTATCAAGCTGGTCAATTAATCTACAGGAAGATGGAAGGTTGAGACTGCAGTGCATTTATATTGTACATTGCTCTGGTGTGTCAATGGTGACCATGGGAGACCACAAATGTCCCTGAAGGGCCACTGATAGATACAGAAGCAACAACCACAACTCAGAAAAAATGGTGGAGGTGAGAGGACAGTATGCCAAAGGTGAATAGTGAAGATAATGAGAGGGGTGTTTATCCTTTGAAGGTCAGGGAGTGTCTATTTCTCCCAGGAGAGTGTATTGGAGGGTTAGGTGGAGTCCATGTGGTCTCTGAAAGGGAATTTGACAGGTCTAAAAGCTTGTCTTGTTGCATGCATTCCTATTAATCTTACAGAAGAGCTGAAAGTAGAATGCGAAGAATAATCCTTGCATTTAACATATCTCCTTTCACATCTGCAGGATGTATTAAAGCGCTTCATAAGAGTCAACTGTAAAGTACAGTGATTGTGTATTTTGTAGGTAATATAAGCAGCCAATTTACACACAGGAATGGCCCATAAACATTGCCTACAAAATGTAATCCCTCCACTTTACAGTATATCATGTGAAGCAGTTTGAGACATCCTCCTGAAGTGAAAGGCACCATATCAAACAAAATGAATGCTCAATTTTGTTTTGGAGGATCGTTGGCCAGGATGCCGGGAGAAACTCTTCTCTTTTCAAAAATGCACTGAGATCTTCAACATACATCTGAAGAAGCAGATGGGACCTCAGTTTAATATTTGATCTGAAGGGTAGCAAGTCGGACAATATAGCGCTTCCCAAGCACTGCAGTAAAACATCGGCCTAGATTGTGAACTCAAACTCTGGGGCTTGATCCTACAACCCTCTGACATGGGAGGCAAGAATGCTAGCAACTGAGCCTGGCTCAGGCAGGACTATAAAATGGGAGCATTATGACCTGTGCCGGTCATATGCATTCATTGGCATTTCATCGACATCACATCTTATGAACCATCACAGTCAGTGCATGTCTGCAGAGCATTACAAAATATAAAAAGTAAACTTGTTTACAAATATACCACATCAAGAATAACAAATATTTGGCTGTGAGTTCAAGGCATTTCATCGGAATCACTCAGTTGAATAATTGGGCTTGCAACCAACTGCCAACTGTTATTTCATTTATAACACAAACCAGGCCCTCCAGTTTCAGTATCTAAAACAGAGTGTACAATGTTGCTGTAGGAGCCATGTTGTAATCCATCACCTCACTACACTGTTGGCCTGCTTCCTCTGCTAACTCATTGTGCCTGCACTGCTGAACATCCCGAAGCTGAGCAACGCCACTGGTAACTCACTCAAACCTTTCCCAGCGGGTGTTCAATGGGCAGCAATTTGGTTAGAGTTTCAGCAAAAGCAATAAAGGAACACCACCTACATCAGCAGCAAATGTTGGAGCCTGCAGTTTGATACAGTAATTGCTTGGAAATTGTTCTTCGAACCACCCAGTCCCCTCCCCATCATGTCATGGTTAATAACCCTTGGCAAGTGAGCTGGCCGGTTGGTTGTATTGCACACAATGCCTGGTTTATGCTGCAGGAAGGATTGCAACATTTCTAATATTTATTTGCCTGCTCCCAATAACTCTCAACCAGGGCTAAAGGGAACTCCACAAAAGCACAGAGCTCTGCTAACCAATATCATTTTCCTTAAAGTTACAAAAGAACTGGTCATGCAGATAACATTGTCAAAGAGACTTTGAAGGAACCATTTCTTGAGCAGAGCACGAGAATTCACAACTAGTTGTACTCTACAGCTGTGTGAATTGGGATTGTTAGGAGCACCTTCTCTGGGTGGGTTCAGTAACCAGGATCCAGTGAGAAGGACTTTGCAATCACAAGATTTAAATGCAAAAGGCACAGCATAAACTCCTGAGGCTGTGATTTTCCCCTATTACAACACAGCTATCCCCACCACCAAAAAACGTGAAGCCTACTGTAAATCTGTTAGGTCACGTTACGCACTTGGACTTTGTAACTAATTTGTTTATTCCAGTAGCCACAGGAGTCAACAACTTCAATGAACAGTCTTTCCAGAATCTAGTCTGTAGTATATTAAATGAACATATAATTATTCTGTGGTTTACTCCGGTTAGTCAATAAAACACTCCACCCCAGTTTACAAATTGTTATGCAGGGCAGAAAGAACGGCATCCAGGATGCAATTCACTTTAGCTAGTTGTCACAGCTCAGCAAATAATGATCAACTGCATACTCCATCAGAGAGGCCTCCACAGATTACATTTATATATAAGCTCAGTGGCTGCTGCCTAAGTGAAATGTCTCCTCACTCCCTTCGGTCTAGTTGACAACTCATGACTGAGATGATGGGTNGGGGGGGTTACTCCTGTCCCAAACACCCTTATGTTTTTCTAGAAAATGTCCAGTATGTCGAGAAAAGGAGAAAGGAAAAGAAAATGACTGGATGTATTTAGAATTAGATTTAACAAGATATATACATTGCGCATTTGGATTTAATAATTGTAGCAGTGTTCCTGACACTTTATGATTCACAAAATTCATCTAATCTCCCCAACCCCAAACACACAGTCTTTTCTTTGATAACCATTTACTTTTTTATTGTTATTATTATTATAAACATTGTATTTTAACACCATGCGCACCAGGAACATTTCTTAAAGTGCTTCACATGATTTTTTACAAAGTTTAGTGACTGTGTACATTTTGTAGGTGAAACGTGGCAGCCAATTTGCACACAACGATTTGCCAGAAACAGCCAGGAAGTAACTGACCAAATTTATGTTGGTAGATTGTTGGCCAGAACACCTGGAGAAATTCCCTTCTCTTTTTGAATAGTGCTATGAGATCTTCTGACGAGGTGGAGTCCATTGAGCCAGGCTGACACAGGTGAACACAAACATACTAACTAACCTCCACAATGAGCTAACCATGCAAGTGGCATTATAGCTGGGCAAATTCCTGCAGCATGGACTAAGCAGCAGTTTTTCCTCTGCAGATTAGTAGGTTTCATATTGTCTCAATTTTGTAACTGGCAAATTGAATAAACTCAGCAAGAAAAAGTCAATATGTGGCACAAACAAATGTATGGTAGAAATAAATCGCTAGTGAGTTTGGCGTGTAATGTATAAAATATGTAACATGATGAATTGCAGCTTCAACTCAGCAATGACGACTGAAATCGGCTGGAAATACAATTCATCATGAAACTTGTTCACGATTCTTTCCGTACTATCCTCAAGCACAGTGATAACATTTTTATTCAAAATCCTGGGACCCCAAGAGTACTAGAGACAACACTTTTACACAATACCTGTGATTTCAACTCTGGCACCAGTTTTATACTTTGCAGCTTTTTCCCCAAGCAAAAATAAAACATCTTTAGACAGAATGTCTGCCCATATAAACTACTTTTATATTATTCCTACATTTTCCTTTCTCATGAAGTTCCTCTGTTGAAATTCAATGTTTCATACAGATCAACCTGGTCCACTTTATCTGAGATCAAGATAAAACCCAATTCAAATAAATGTTGATTATTTTCCTCTACTATCATGGCCCAGCAGTCTATATTCCCTTGTCTAAAATAATATTCTCTCCTCCAGTGTCATTTCTAATGTCCATTCACACTCAATGGAAAAAACTAAACATTTGTTTTCCTCCCTGTGATTTAATTTCTGTTCTGCATTTTTGATTTTGCTCCATTTCTTCATGTAAGCTGATTTCCAGAGATTTGGGAGGCAGCATTGCCCAGGCTTGGGATGGCACAGACAAAATCAGAGAGACTGAGACACGGAAATCAGGCAGTTGTGGGGCGTCTATCTTATGCCAATCTTTCTGTTGCATCTTTACACTAGGATATTCCCCGTCAATTAGTGCAATCCAATTGTAAACATGCATTAAAAATAGAGCTGCTTTTAGTGAAGAGTGTATGATAAACCCCAGACATACATACAGAAAGAGCTCACGAGTTTTATTGAAACATTGGAGTAAAATAAAAAAGGCCTAATCTAACGATGCCTAGAAGTGACTGAGAGCAAAGGGCTGATGTCTCACCATTACCAGGTCAGTGTGTTTCTGTGTGCGTGTGTGTTAGTGTGGGAGAGCAGCAAATCAGCAAGGCAAAGTTGCAATCGCAACCTTCACTGATACTCGTATTCAGGCTACCTCAGAGGAGTTTGCCATCAGTTTCCTAGTTGAGACATTTTCTCATGCACTCTCTCAAAAACATTCTGCAGAATAATGGCTGAATGGCTATAAAATTCTATGACTCTAAAATGTCTTCTGAACCCCCAAATCAGATTACAGACTTGAAATCACTCCAAATGAAGTTCATTTGTATTTTCATTTAGTTTTGGGTCTCTCTTTTGCAGATGAGTCAGAACTGTTCCTGCATTAGTTGTATTTGCTGGAAGACAGCACACATACAACAAATGGATTTGTTGATTCCTCATGTTACTCACATTAACTTATGTAATCACTCCAACAATATCAAAAATAACTACCAGAAAAAAATGCAGTAAGTTTCCATTACATATACATATGAAAGTGTTCCTCTGGTTCCTTTTCCTCTTGCAACAAGCCAATGAGTCATTTGAAGGTGAAACTGAAGTGGGCAAGCCAGAAACACATTGCCAAGTGGCTCCAAAAACATTCTTTATCTTCACAAGTCATGCCAGTAATAGCTGAATTAGTCCATCAGTGAAATAGATGCATAAAGCCAAGTTCCACCTTAATGCAGAATCAATATTTGGAG